GTTTATATAGTTTCTCAACATTCTTGTCATCTAATCATTGGTTATATAGTTTCTCAACATTCTTGTCATCTAATCATTGGTTATATAGTTTCTCAACATTCTTGTCATCTAATCATTGTTTATATAGTTTCTCACCATTCTTGTCATCTAATCATTGGTTATATAGTTTCTCAACATTCTTGTCATCTAATCATTGGTTATATAGTTTCTCGTACCACTTACAGAGAGACATTTTCCATCTTTACTTCCACCAACAGCAAAAAAATGTCAAGAGCCAGACATGCGTGCATGGTGAAGTATTATGTATCGCTTCATGTTCTATATAGTAACACCAGCTTCAATATTTTTAAATAAAAAGAATTACAATAAAATTATAGTTTGAATATATCCTACTGATAAATAACTTTATATTAAGTACAGTTTTTAAGTAATCAGTTATAATGTGATTATCAACTTTTAAATTATGTTTACCAGAGCAACGTCACAAATGACACATCAATATAGCAACTGAAAGGTTAAAGTAAAAAACGTCCAAGAATAACGAAATCAAAAAGCTACAAACTAATGGGTGATATAGCTCTTAATGTGTCCAGGAGCATAGATACATATATAAACAATGATTAGATGACAAAAATGTTGAGAAACTATATAAACAATGATTAGATGACAAGAATGTTGAGAAACTACATAACCAATGATTAGATGACAAGAATGTTCACACTATGTAACCACTGATTAGATGACAAGAATGTTGAGAAACTATATAACCAATGATTAGATGACAAGAATGTTGAGAAACTATATAAACAATGATTCGATGACAAGAATATTGAGAAACTAAAGCTTTTTATATTGCTGGTGAGTTAGGTGGTCTTCCTCGTTGATGGATTTTGCATGTTGTATTTTATTAGTAACTGCCTCCCACGTTATAGTTGAAAGGCCTGCAGTGGTGTGTAATTAGTTTAAGTCATCAGTTGAAAGGCATGCAGTGGTGTCATCAGTTGAAAGGTTTGCAGTGGTGTGTAATTAGTTTAAGTCATCAGTTGAAAGGCCTGTAATGGTGTGTAATTAGAGTAAGTCATCTGTTGAAAGGCCTGCAGTGGTGTGTAATTAGTTTAAGTCATCAGTTGAAATGTCTGCAGTGGTGTGTAATTAGTTTAAGTCATCAGTTGAAAGGTCTGCAGTGGTGTGTAATTAGTTTAAGTCATCAGTTGAAAGGTCTGCAGTGGT